CCCCCCGTCCCATGAGCTAATAAATGAAAGCCGACATGTGACTAGTTGAGAGTTACATACGGAACACGGAGTGTGAATAAAGATTTTGTACCTAATTTGTTCACCCAAAAGAAGGATTATTTTATTGTCCTGTTGTAATTGATTTTTATTGATTCTATTTTTAGTTGTTATATTCGTGACGGAATTCTTCCTCGCGAGAGAAGGAATGCTCCACGCTCTAGACCATGGGATGATTAACGGTGACTACGTTTTTATCATGTTTGAACTGGATCAAAATCAAGTCAGTTCATACGCCAAACAACCATTTAAATGGCTGTTCAGCAGCTATCCAAGCACTCTCAATCGTTATAACCATTTACAGCGAGCGTTTGCTGCTGTGTTTGTTCTTGCTGTTAAGAGTCCTTCTTCCAAAAACTATTCGTTGTTTCAAGAAGAGCTAAAACGAAGAGCTCCTGAGGCGCCTTTTTATAGTACAGTATACAAGGGCTTCTTGTGGGATAGCAACAAGCATAACGATTCTCTGAACTTTCCCTCTAAAAGTGGCGAGGTAATTACAATCAATGCCTTACTTCCTCCCTTCCTTCCTTCCTTCCTTCCTTCCTTCCTTCCTTTCTTTCTCCCTTCATTTCTTCCTTCTCCCTTCCTTTCTCCCTCCCTCCCTTCCTTCCTCCCTCCCTTTCTTCCTTCCTTTGTAGCTTTTTTGCCATTCCACTGTTTTCTAATCTTTAAAATTTCATTTACGTTTTTCAAAAAGACAAAATTTAAAGCTAAAGAGACTCAGGTAAGACTACATGCTTTTTTTAATGACACCAACTTAATTTATGATTCTATATATTATAATTTATGCAACTGGCTCTTTCAACATTGCTGGCAACAGAGTTTGTTTTAAGTGTACACGAACCCTTGGACAATACTTTCAGCATTGGTTCTACATGAAGTAAATCGTTGAATGGTATAATATTTCTAATTGATTTGAGTGAAAATGGAAATCAAACTTCGAATAATAAACTGAATATTTGAATCTCGACGGGAACGCTGGTTTGACTGTAACACTTGTAGCATCTCTTTCGAAAACAAAACTATGAATCAAGGACAAAACGAACCAAGTTTGACTAATTAAAACAAACTATTTGCAGCTATAGTGATTGTTTTTCTGTCCTGTGAGTTTAGAAGACCCTTAGAATTACACGATAAAAGCTTTTTTTTCTCTCTTGTAATTACAATGTGTGTGGGTGTGTGTGTTTGTAAATGTTGTCTATTTAAAAAACTATATATGTTATTTTGATAAATTTGTAATTTTGATAATATATTGATATTATTTTAAGATTATTCCTTGTAACTGGGGTGCCTGACTTTGATTAGTTCATAATATTTCAGGTACCCCAGGACGTACCCCAGTACCATCAAACTTTTCTTTTTCTAATATATTGCAAATAACTATTATTTCAACTTTGTTGCGAATAAACTATTGATCATTGGCTGAGAACAACATGACACCAATGGCATTCACATACGGATAAAATTGTGCGCATTGGTAGAGTTTAGAGTCTATTTGTTTTGTCACGAAAATAAACTTAGTTAAGGATGCTTGTAATGAAGCCAATCGTACGGAGGTTTATTGATTACCCTGTGTTTTACTTAGCTCAGTCATTCTTATTACTATTACTTTCTGTTATTAATGATGCCTATATATGGATTCCACGTGATGCTCATGATTTACTCATCCCCAGCCTCCCATCTATGGTGCGTACTTGTACGATGCTGTCTACCAGTTTGCCGTGGCACTCAACAAATCCTACGCCATAGAAGAAAATCCAACAGGGAAAACCATCATCGATCAACTAAGAGGAATACAATACGACAGTGAGTAACCATCCCACCCATTCTCGTACCCAGAGCTCATCGGTTTCGCTCCTACCCGTCGGGCTGAGGAGATCTGGGTACGAAAATGCCATTCCAACATGCATCACAGAGGTGAAAAACGTATGCACATGCGCCGAATTGTCCAAGAAAAGAAATATGGCCGCTATAGCAATTCGCATATAACAGAAAAATTGGTCAAGGCTAGGTTTTCAGAAAAAAAGATTTTAGTACGAACGCTTCGAAATTTTTATTTAATTTCGTTTACGATTTTTCGAAAGCGAAAGCAGGCGAGCCCGCGATTTTACCACAACCACTGACTGGTTTTTAACTGAAGCCCTGTTATCATAGATTCTTTGCCGTTTGAGTTGTATCCATATCCATGTGTCTTCTCACACGCCACCGTTAAATAAAGAAATCATACTCTTGGGAATGACACGTGGTCTAAAATGGGTAGACTTTAAACTAAAGCTAAGGCCAAAAACAAACGTTGAACTTCATATGAGCCGAACCTTATGACATAAAAGAAGACCGCCTTGTTATACATCGTTTTCAATTAGGTTCGGCTCATGTGAAGCTGGACCCGATCAAACCTAATTTGGTGTTGCTCCAAGGAGTCTAATAAAACTCTGGTGTAAGAAACAAATTTGAGTTGTTTGAAACTAATCCACATCTGTAAAAATAATGCTTTTATTCTCATATTTTTGTCTTAAGGTATTTTAGGGTATAAGATCCATTTCGACAACCGAGGAAACTCCGAATTCAACCTCACACTACTGGATCTATACTCCAAACGTAAGAATTATTACATATATGATATCCATCATCATCCAGCTGATCTAAGAGAAAATATTAGCCAATCAGAATAGAGTAATAATGTATGACAAGTAAGCGAAAACGACGTTACCCAGTCATTAGTTCACAATAAAAGATATAAAAGCACATGAAATGTATTTATAGAAGAAAAGTAGAGAAATTGACCTCTTGTTTGACCTGAATTCGCGCTATCCACCTTTATTTTGAGTGAGCAGCCTTGCTCAGCCTTGCAAGATGACTGGGCGACCTCGTTTTTGTGCGCTCGTCAGCCTTTATGACAACGGTGTATAGTATAATGTCCTTACTTTAAAAAAAAAAAAAACACGGCACGGTCACGGTACGGATTGACAAGCCAATCATAGCGTTGAAGTTTACTTTTCATCCAATTACCACAATGCAGCAGAGGCTCGAGATGGCCACGGTCAAGGCAAACCTAGACTGCAGTCCCAATTTTTCCTCCAGATTCAGTAAAGACAAGTGTTTCAGGATCGAAAAAAAGAGTCTGAAGGGAAAAGGGGGGCTGCTCTTAGTCTAGATTAGCCAGACCTAAAGAAATTGTCTTTTTGAATTCCTTTTTTAGCTAATGCCAAGTATGCAGAAATGGTCCCAGTTGGCGACTTTCAGATATTCTACGGCAACAGTTCAAGTGCTGGTGAACAGATATTCATTCCCAGGTCAAACGTTAGCATCATCTGGCCTGGTGACAAAGGACCACCTAAAGATTCACCGGCCTGTGGTTTCCATGGTGAGCTTTGTCCATCGCCTGTTGGTGACGGTAAGTCTCTAAAAACTGTTTCTATTAAACATTTATGTCAACACCAGTTTCGTATTAAGTTTAGACTCTTTTAATAAGAAGAATAGTTTATTTATTTATGTTTAATCTATTTGCCTTCAAAGATTGCGCGCAGAAGTGGTAACTAGTAGGGTGCGCGCTGAATCATGGGGTAGTTTTAGGACGCCATTTTTTTCAATATGGCGGAAAGCTAAGCAAACTCTTTTGAAAAACAGACCGAAAATCGAAGTAAATGTAACTAATCGCAATCCAAAAGCTAAAAATAAAGCCTGTAAAAAAAAAAAGGAAATACCGTCCCCTAAACGAGCTCCATGACTCAGCACGAGTGCTACTAGTTACCAGCTTTCCGCGCAACTCAACAAAGGCCAATATTAACACACCTTGTCAAGCTTTAGCTTGTGATCTGAAATGGAAAAGCATTACTTATGTAGCATACAAAACAAAAGTTAGTTTGAAAAAAAAATTTTAATTATCATTTTTTTGTTAGATGCCAAGATGAAGATAATCGCTGGTGTGTCGGGAGCTTTGGCGTTACTCTCATTGTTACTACTGCTAAATATTTACAGGTAATTAACAACCTCTAGCTGAAAAGTTACCAGGCCGAACTTTGTGACCAGGCCTGTAGAATAGTGGCAGCCGTCTTGAAAGAGTAACCAGGCCTGTACATTAACGGCTGCGATATTAAGTAACCTAGCCTTGTGTTACCGGAAACCATCATACCAAAGTAATAACCAGGCGAAGAACGAGGGCTCCGGCATAATCCATTTTTGGCGTATGCGCAATTTTCCGGAAGTGAAATATAATGAAAATCATGCTTTCAAACAGAGTTCTGTGTTTACTTTCGATCAAAATAAAAATTAGAAATCGGGAAGATATTTTTATTTTTTGCAAGTCTTTGAACGCAAACGCTCTCATACCGGAAGTCCAAGAAATCCTGGTCTCAAAAAATGGATTATGCCAGAGCCCTCGTTCTTCGCCGCAGAACGTACAAGATTGATAAATTTACCCAGCCATCGTGCACGTGCAACCGACTACAGACCTTTTTTTACTGTTTTGCTTGTATCAAAATTCCAGATCTCTCATAATTTCTTTCCTTTCTGCAGACAGTATCGACTTGAGAAAGAGCTCAAAAGTTTGCTGTGGAAAATTGATTACAACGAGATTTGTTTCGAGAAGAAAAGAAACTCAGCTTGTTCACTGGCGAGTTGCTTTGGCGTTGGCATGGTAAGTAATACTGATAATGTAATGCAATGTAAAATGTAATGATGGTAATGATGATGATAATGAATGATGGTAATAATAATAATAATAATAATAATAATAATAATAATAATAATGACGAGACGATGACGATGACGATGACGATGACGATGACGATGACGATGACGATGATTCCCTGCAGTCTTTACTGACTTGGTTATTGTTTATTACAGAGAGAAAATCATGTATTGGAGCCATTACTTTGTGACGATGAGGCTGAGGAGCTTTACAAACATACGTTTATTGGTATCTTCAAGGTATCGATCAAAAAACATGCCATAAACTTGAAGTTGGAACTTTGTTTCTGGGTTGACCCTTCAACTCAGAATCCTAGATTCACCTTTGAAGCAAATGAAAAGTCTTGCGATTTTGTATTATGATTTCTTCCTTACCATTCCATTGGACTGACTATTCCTTTTTACTCCGACCTCCTTAAGGTGCTGGCACACAACATGACTGTTGCAGCGTGTATCTACCCCAAACTTGTTGCACGCAACGCTGCATGCAACAAATCTGAAGTTGAATCGCGCTCTACTCTTGCAACATTGCGCGAAACAAATTTCATCATGTGAACATGGCTGCAACATTACTTGCAACATTTTGAAATTTCCAGCCAATCAGCTTGCACCAAATTTATAACTGCTGACCAAATATCTTCACATAGCAGGCTGACACAAGCGATGTTGCGTGATTTTGTTGCAATGTGTGTCACCCCGAATCAAATTTGTTGCTTGCAATGTTGCGTGCAATGTTGCACCGTGTGTCAGCACCTTAAACGTCTTTACAATATATAGGTCCAAACGTTTTCTTACACGGTGTTCAAGTTTCCTTCTTATTCATTTTTTTCCGTGACCAGTCTTTCTTTAAACTTATATATCGGGGATGGCCTGGTAACAACCTCGACAGTCATTCGAGTCACGTGGTTTGTACTTGTTGATAATAAAATGGTGATGCTTGATTTTAGGGCAATCTGGTAGCTGTCAAACGATTGGCTAAGAAGAATGTGGATATGACAAGAACAGTACTTATGGAGCTCAAACAGGTATGATTCATTCTTTCTGTTTTCAAAAAAATTTCACGCTAAAAGTTTTCATTCTTTCCGTTATTTAGATGAGAGATCTTAGACACGATAATCTTGTCCAGTTCATCGGCGCATGCGTAGACTCGCCCAATATTTGCATAGTGACACAGTATTGTCAGAAAGGAAGCTTACAGGTAATAATCACACTTTGACTTCTGTTGAAGTTTACATGTAAATAAATATACGTCTGGCTAGTTTTTAAAAAAGTCCCACATGGATAAGAGAAACCTTGGATTGATGTAAGTGATATATCAAGTTTGCTGATCATAGCAAGGGGTTAATCATCTACGGTCTAGGGGCCGACTAACCTCTCCCTTAGGCTTCGGTCGAGCTCCCTGATCAGTCAGTAATTATTCGGATAGCGGTGTCGGGGCCGAAATCTCCGGCGTAGCCGTAAATGCTTCGCGCTGCCATACGACGGTTCAGCACTTGATGTCTGGAAGTATGGTCCATCTTTTTGATCAATCACTAAAAACTAATAATCATATTAAGTTTGCCAATAAACTTCTTGCATAAAACTTCAAAGCAACTCAATTTGGAGGACAAAACAAAAGAATTTCATTCTCCTGAGAATTGGAAACCTCTTGTTATGTCCTCCAAATTGAGCTGTATCCGACGTGCTGCAAGGGGTCTATAGCTTTACTGCATTAACCTAAATTAAAAGAGAATCAAAATGTTCCATCAATCAACTTTTTTCAAATTCCTTTTTCTTTTCCTCATCGTTCAGGATATTTTGCAAAACAAAGATGTCAAGCTGGATCACATGTTCATAGCTTCGTTAGTTTCAGACATTGTTCGGGTAAGAGATTGATGCAAATTAATATACACACATAGTTCATTTAGTGATGGTAGCCCCATTTACACGGAAGATTTTTGCGGCGACTTTTGAAGAAAAAAAAGTATCATAAGTTATGCTTTTAATTTTGTTCAGGTAATCATGGTGTCCGGAATTAACTTTACAAGTCAATCCTTACTATTTTGGACTATGACCGAAATCGCTACAAAATCCGCTCCTCAAGCCGCTTCAAAAATCGTCAGTGTAACGAGGCTTTGACAGAATTGATGTAGTATGCTTTCTGCGCTTCGAGAGCGTATCAAGCAACAATCATGCTCCTCTAGCTATCCGCGTGCATCCATAAATCCAATTATCATTCCTTATCTATAAACCAAATAAGACAGTACTAGAGCTAAAATTCCAGCTTTTGGCCTCCGCTTGTCATGGGCAAATTCAACTGACACTGTTTTAAAGTGACGGGCTAATATAAGAATGAAAGCTGCTTAAACAATCAAACCAGAGCCAAGCTAAGTCCCACGTTTCTTGGCGGAGACCAAAAGGAACGCTGGCTCTGAGAAGGAAAATAGAGAGGTTGTCATGCGCTGCTATGTCACAGGTGTCATTAATGTCTTTCTACAGGGAATGGTGTTCCTACAGAGTGTTGATGTCAAATCTCACGGGAACCTCAAGTCCTCCAACTGCTTGGTCGATAGTCGATGGGTCGTGAAGATTTCCGACTTTGGTCTTCCTACGTTTCGTGCCAAACAGACAAAGACATTCCCTTCAGAGTCCCTTTATTATACAGGTTTGTTAGGCTGCAATTGCTGATTTTCAATCATTCGCAAGAGAATGAAATAACAAAAGGCCTGACGGCCATGTTGGATGATTTAACAAAAGAGACTAATGACGAATCTTTTGTTAAATTCATCCCGCATGGCGGCTGTGAAAACCATCAATAGAGAGTGTTTCATCGCAGGCATGTTGTAGGCCAAGAACAAAGATTTTTTTGAGCTACCGTGAAACCTTCTGATCAAGTGCGCACGCGCGTGTTCAAGTCAAGATGGCGAGTTTGATCAAATTTGAGACTACCTAAGGTTGAATCTTTACGTAGTTAAAGAAATTCAATAGTCCCTTTCACAGTTCTCGGCGCCATCATGAAAGGTAGCCGTGCCTTTGCATCGAAGCGAGACGAACGGTGAGCTTGCAATGATAGAGACATGAATAATTGTCCAAGGTCTCTAACATTGCAAGCTCACCGTTCGTCTCACTTCGATGCAAATAATATGAATAATATATATGCAMATATGATACATATGAATAATTGTCCAAGTTGTTAAAAAAAGGTCTCTATCACTGCAAGCGCACCGTTCGTCTCACTTCAATACAAAGGCATGGCTACCTTTCAAGATGGCACAGGGAAATGGGTAAGGGACTATTGCAATAATAATCTTATTTTTCTTCCAGATCTTCTTTGGGTTGCTCCTGAAATCCTCAGACTGGCAAATCGGCCGGCCAGGGGAACTCAAAAGGGAGACGTTTACAGTTTTGCTATCATTCTATCAGAGTTCCACACAAGAGAAGAACCATTCAGTGCTAATTACATGGATCCAAAAGGTAAGCATAACACGAGCATTGGCAAAATTGGACTTGCGTGAAGAGAAATACTACAACTGTATTATAGCGTTGTTAATTACAGCTACCCTTGAACGCTTTTTGGTAGCTCTAGTCCAATGACACCGTCATTTAAACGGTCTATTACGGTAGTAATGCAATCGGTGATCTCTAAAAGGCTTCTTATTCAAGTTGTTGATCCCAAAGGGAAGATTTGTAAAGGCGGCCATATTGGTTTGTTTGGAACATTATTTATGTCTGTCCTACTAATACATTTTAAAAACTGGCTCATGTGGCCGCGTTTTGCACCTGAGAATCCACATGATCACGTGATGGCAGCCGTTATTTGTTTTGATAAAGGTTATCAAATATATATATAGCCGAAAACGTCATGCCTCTTAAAATTCACAAGTTAATAAACCGCAATGCTTACTGTTACGATGGTGGCAGCCATATTGAAGGGGGATTAGTTGTTCTGTCATCCAACATGGCTACCGGATGGTGGTGTAGAGCATAGCAACAATACAGGATGTGGAACAAGAAAGCACAGCAGAATGATGTCTGTCTACTTTTAGCAAGGTTTTTATCGCGTCTGGGATCTACCAGTCACCATTTAAAATTTACAATCCATTTCCGCTGACCCAAAATATCTACTGCATATTTCAAAATAACGACTGGTAGATTTGCAGACTCAATTAAAACCTCGCTCAAAGTAGACAGACATCATTCTGCTGTGCTTCCTCGCGTGGTATACTAAGCTACTTCCATAAATATTTTCCAGAAATCGTCCGACGGGTCCAAAACGCGGAGTTCCCTCCATTCCGCCCCACCGTGCCCGTGCTGATTGCTGGCGTGGAAGAACTACGCGAACTGATGAAACAATGTTGGCAAGAAGATCCCGACTTGAGACCTGATTTTAACGAAATTAGGAAAATCATGAACAAGATACTGATCAATAATGGAATGTAAGTATCTTATGAAACTTCCACTTCCGGTTGACATCCTTGTTTCTTCCCAGATCCCTCTCAAGTAGCAGGCCTACCAATGATTAGGGGTCGAGAGAAAATCGAGCTCAAAGTGGCTTTATTTCCTTTTTCTTTATAGGAAAACCAACATTTTTGATAACATTTGCTACATGATGGAGAAATACGCAGATAGTCTCGAGGAGCTAGTTATGGAGAAAACTGGTCAGTTGATCGAAGAAAAGAAAAAGACAGACGCTTTACTGGAACGCATGTTACCAAGGTAGGTACTCAGTGGATTCCTTTCGCTGTGGGAGTATTTTTTACCATATGAGGGTTTTGGACCATCACGTGATGGCAGCCATGACGGGAGGCAGGAATGAATAAACCTGGTCTAATCAGATTTACATAAGAAAGTTTCAGTTTCCGAGGGGGAAGGACTCTATTCTGGTACTTTTGTATTGGCCGCCATCACGTGATGGGTGCAAGCCTCTATACCACACGTCACTATAACTTGAGTTCTTTATAACGCAAGTCCTGAGGAGATCATCATGGATTCATTTATCGATTTATCATCCATCGATCTATTTATGATAGATCTCTGCTTGATTCTAGTGGTTTTCTAACTCAGACCACATGTCATTCTCTTGAGAATAAAATTCTTTGTTTAAGTTGTATCCAAATTCATGTGTCTTCTCATGCCACAACTGTTAAACAAAGAAATGATACTCTAGGAAATAACACGCGGCTTGAAATGGGAAACCATTACTTACCTGGCAAACCTAGCAGAAGATGACTGTTTTACATTTGTTTCAGGCCGGTAACAGAACAGCTAAAGCGAGGCAAAGCAGTGGAAGCAGAGAGCTTCCACGAAGTGACGATATATTTCAGTGATATTGTAGGTTTCACAGAGCTTTCGGCAGAAAGCTCACCGCTTCAGGTATGTTAGAAATGACTCTTGAATATTACGCTATTAGTCAGTCACGTGTTAACTGAGATTACGTGGGTTCCCACCAATCACAATGCTCCCTCCAACTTTGAGCTCATGGGAATGAGAATCTTTTTTTGCGTTAAATTCCACAATCATGATTGCCTAGAGTGTTCGGTAAACAAAGAAATAATACTCAAGGGAATGACATCATGAGTACTTACTCAGTTTTATTAACTAATTTTCAGGTTGTTAGTCTGCTTAACGACCTTTACACACTCTTCGATGACATCATCTGTGAATATGACGTCTACAAGGTAATTATCACGTGACGTTATTTTTATTACCATAAATAGAAAAATATTATTATTAATAAAATATATTCACTTATATAGTATTAAATATTTATTCTTAAATTTATCACATGTTCTTTTTAACTTTATTTGCATTTATTAGTGATTTCAATTCTTTTAAAGTTTATATTTTGTTTGGTTTTATGATGTTTAACATGTTATTTTTATGTTTTATATTTTGTTTTGCTCTTGTTTCTTTTGTACGCTGCTTTTGTGTGCTGGATTTTCTCTTGTCTGTGGGTTTCGAAGTGTTATTGATCAAACAAGCTGTGTCAAGAGTTTAACAATGAGAAAATAAGAGCAGAAAAAACCCACTTGTTGACACAGTCTCATTATAGACCTTTAGCACGACGTTCTTGCTAGGTACCGCAAACCGCAAACCGCAAACCTCAAACTGAACCGCTTCGTCGTCGGGTGTTTTTCGTCAAACTTTCGAAATTTAGCAAGGGTCATAACGAAGTTGTTGCTGGAAGAGCCGCCATATTGAATTTCACTGACGTCGGGTGTTTCTCCGTGTTTGCGGGCTGATCTGCAGCGGCTAGCTGTAACTGATGCTAAAGGTCTCTATTAACTACTTCTTCCCCGTCCTATTCTTTTCCTTTTAATAAAATTTAAAAAAATATAATTGTGATTTCATTTCAAGTACTCATTTGTTTCTATAGAAACGAGCGCGAAAAACGTACCGGAGCTTGTACTACACTAAAGGGGGTCCTCCGGTTTCCATAGTTTCCATCAAGGAGCCTTTTGTTGTATCCATAGTAACAACTGCTGTCTCCATGGAAACCGGCAGGGCGAAAAATCGGAACTCAGACTCTCTTTCCTTTACTCGTCGTACTAACAGATTAAAAGAGTTTCACTGAATGTTTCTATAGAAACAAGTGCTGTGCTCCCTTAAGAGATATAGGCTTCTTCTGCAAGCTTTTTTCCAATGCGGTGGTTTGGTTGTATTTATACTCTAGTGCGCTCCTTCTGCCCGGCAGGTGGAGACGATCGGTGACGCATACATGGTGGTCAGCGGTCTACCTATACGCAATGGCTCGAGGCATGCTGGGGAGATTGGACGAATGGCGCTACATCTGATCGAGGCTGTGAAGACTGAGTTCATCGTCAGATACAAACCCAATTATAAGCTGAAACTACGCGTGGGAATACACAGTGGTAAGTAGAGAAAATAATTATTATTATTAGGCTCATGCCAAACCTCGAACTTCACATGAGCCGAACCTAATGACATCAAAGAATACCGCCTTATTATCCATTGTTTCATTAGCGCAGCGCTGACTAAGATCAACTGCGATCGGCTGTGAAAATTATCTGCTGAAAGTAAACTTGTAAGTTTGTTTGTCCGAATTTCGCCTTTGTCTTCGTTTTTATGACGTCACGGTTGCGCGGCGCTATTAGGTTCGGCTATGTCAAGTTCGACGTTTAACCTGAGTCTGAGTTCTAAACTAAACTTTATCGGTTTCTATGCCGTTAATACGACTATCACAATCTAAAAAATACACTTTGTTTCACGGGTTAATGAAAAAAGCGTAACTCTGAAAAAAAGTTATATTAATGTTGTGTTCGTTTGTAGAAGACAACTGATTAAGGCACCTTCCACTAAGCTACAGTGATTTTACTTGAAAAAGAAAAGAATTATTTTACCACTATTGCGAATTTTCTCGTTTTCTGATTGGTCTAGAGCGGGGAGATATAGGAGGACATACCGATAAATTACGTCAGCAAATCACGCGCGTGCTTGAAACCCCGTTTTCTCGGCTACGCTTCCTGAGTCCACAACATTTTGACGGCTAGATGATAGAAGTAAATGAGACGACATGCTACGAAAAACTGGAGGAAATTGGTTAAGTGTCTATTTCTATGTATTACGTTGACTATTCTTACACGGGTGATGGAGAATCACTCGATATCGTCGTTGAATCACTTGTCATATTGCATCATTTCTTCCCCAGGTCCTGTGGTGGCTGGTGTAGTAGGTAACACTATGCCTCGTTACTGTTTATTCGGTGATACTGTTAACACGGCATCAAGGATGGAGTCCCATGGCGAAGGTATTCCAATAACATTATTTGCCTTGAATATCATGCACGGTTATAATCTGATGTGCAATGCATAGTGGAAGTTCTTTCCTTGAAGTGTCCTAAGATGCATCGCATGGGCCGTGACGCAAATGCTTCTAAAGGTTATTATCTGGATATTTAGTATTATTTAATGAGCTATGTGTATCCTTGCAGCACTAAGAGTACATATCAGCGAAGATACTAAGAAGATACTTGATCAGTTGGGTGGCTTCATAGTTGAACCCAGAGGAGAAATACACATTAAGGTATATACGTATATTTATCAAACTCATGAATATTTAATGAGTAGATAACAAAGCAAATCACTACTGTGACGGTGGTTTGGAAATGTGTTCTTAATTTGCATTAAATTTCGTAAACTTTTTCTTTGATTTTCTCCAAGAAATATTCATTAGTTTGAGAAGTAATTCCAAACACTTGAGAAATCCTCCGATTTCCAAACACTTCAAAGTCAGTTAAAAAAACTCGGCTGCATCTCGTTATTTCAACTCACTTTTCGGTGTTTGGAAATCAGAGGAAGAACTCTCTCGTGTGTTTGAAATATTACTTATCATCCCATGATGAATGTTTGATGATGATGATGATAACATTGATGATGATGATGATGATAACAATGATGATGATGGCGATGTTGATTATAATGATGATGTTGTTGATGATGATAACAATTATTATTATGATGACGATGATGACAATGATGATGATGATAGCGATGAGATAACAGTAATGTTGATAATGATGATAATTATGATGACGACGACGATGATGATGATGAAGCTAATGGTGATGATACAAATAATCTTGATTCTGTCAACAGGGTAAAGGCAATCAAGCCACGTACTGGCTCGTAGATGTTGCAGATGAGAAACCTTTCCCAAAGCGACGACCAAATTTAAACTCGAATCCCGTGGACTCACCGCTTCTCAGGTGATTTACTCTCTTAGCTATTTTCATACCAATATTGCACAACCATCTCCTTTCCTTCCTCAAAAATTTATAAAGTCTTTTGTTTTGTTCTTCAGTCTGCCCGGGTTCGCAAAGCCGTGTTTGAGTGGCTCAAATAATTCTCTGTCACTGAAACGCTCGCCATCTTACAGGAAGAACTTCAAGAACCAGTCAGGCTCGCCTATTGGCATGAGGCGATGGCATAGATTCGACAACGAAGATGATAAAGATCAAACTACAAGGTTATGGACTGAAAAAGATGACACCAAATACAGTGTAGTGTGAAAAAAAWATATATATATATAAAAGGAAATTGTGGCAAAAAAAGGAAAAGAAGGTCTCGTGCTACTCACTTGATATTATTATTCCGACTACAAAATGAAGGAACTAAAATAGGAGCATCCTTTAATTAGTTTGATCAAATTACAAAAGAAAGCTACCAAATATATTAACATGAATAAGTAGAGACAATACAAGCTGAAGTCACGTGATGTTATTGACGTCACGTGATATCTTCGATTATTAGGCAAACATAATGTTGGAGCATATAAAAAATTAGCCGTCTTGGAAACCGAGACCACTTGATTTTTCGTCGTGACTTCTCCGCATCGTGAAGGTTTTATAAGGGATTTTAATTGGTGGGTAATGAGCCTATAGGTGCTATTTTGTATATTTTGGAAATAGTAAATTATTTGGAATCCATTGTAGCAAAGGAGAGAGGGAAGGGAGGGGAATTTTGCTTCATTATGAATCCAGAGGGCATTCAGATTCATCGATTACTTTTTTCTCTATAAATTGCTTTTGCTTTCACGACCCTTGCTAACATGGCGTGATCTTGCCGCTGTTGTAGTAAAACAGGACTCATGGTCAACACGACCAGTCTACACGAATCGTGTAAAAATCCCATAAGAAATGACATTGCAAATAACATAGAAGTTAAAGTTTTATGTAAATATATTGATGTACATAATCGGAAAAGTACCGATTTTATGTTGCAACAGATTTTAAATTATTATATATGATAATATTATTATAATTTTGATTATAGGACATGTTATCTCTGTGATTTAGATAGGTCATAATGTGTGATATAAGAATTTGTAGATCACGAAAAGACTGCGAATAATATTTTAAAATGTACAAAATGTGAAGTAACATATTAAGTACATACTGCGCATGCTCATGAATTATTGAGCATGCGCAGTACTTTTTTATTTGTAGGTCCGCGCTTCATTTTTTTCAACATATTTATATTACAGGCAACCCAGTATAATCTATGAAGAACAATATAAAACACGATATAACTATGAAAAATATTCAGATTTAGCAACTATAAATAAAAGGAATAATAAACAAGAAAGCAAGAAATATCTAACGTTTGTTAAGTGTGTTACCATCTAAATGTCATCTTTAGAAAGTGGAACACGACARTGGAAGATTTAGGAGTCAGCGGACTTTCTCAGGTTCGGGTCCCAGGTTCGCATTATAGGCGCGCTTATATTTCGGCGGGGAGGGGGGTTGTTACACCTTATCCCATATTTTATTTCTAAAGCTCTTCTCAGCCATCCATTATAGCCTACCTCTTTCTTAAACCTTTATGTTAAGAAGCCTCAAAAATGACCATGACTGCAGGCTCAACTGCCAGAAAAAAAATTGGGCTGCCTGTGGTCACTTTATTTGCGGTAATTGGGCTTCCTGTGTTCAGTTGTGTGTACATTTGGATCTGTCTGACTGAAGCGTCTTCAAAGTGGTTAAAATGATAGTAAGAGCAAGATTCTACATTCTTTTTGGCAAAATAAAACAGTTAAAGAGCCGAAGAAGGACCAGGGGTGATCAGAACTACATAAATATGGTGAGTAAGAATGATTTTCAACTTGACTAAAACGTAAGAATGAACCTGGAATATTGTAAAACGTGGCTTTAACTAAAAACTCAAGACTAAAATGGACAGAGGATTGAATTATCTAGGTGCCACAAAATATTATTATTATTGACAAGATCAAACGATTAGCACCTGCTTTGAATTCAAGTAAAATTTGGCGTCAAAATGACACTTATTCTTTGAGTCTTGCCCAGGTGTTTTTTTGCATAAATTGAAAACGCGCGCGCTGTCAAGCAATCAACAACCCAACCCATTCAGAAAAATACGTATTTTATTTTATGTATTTTTTTTGTTTTTTGCACACTATATAATATATACATTTGTGTCGATATTCTACTTATTTTTGGGATAATACATTTGAAACACTTGTATATGAAACTTTTCTGATTATGCATATGCATATTAAAATGTTTACATTTACAAATAGTTCTGCACACCAAGTTGTTTACTTAAGCAAAGGAGTAGCATCCTCTAAATATTATTGGCTTTGCCTTTGTATGACTTTATTACTGGGAAATAGAAGTACAATATTGCACAGAACAATCTCTATGCTCAAGATCAATGCTTATCCAATGAAAATGCTTGAACATGGTACTGTCAATGTAACGGCTCACGTCAATCAAAATCATACAAAATTTGATATAAACTTTTGTTTGTGATAGGATTTATCACTAAGAGTGTTTATTACCCTGCAATTTTCAAACAATGGGAAAATTTAATTTCAGGAGTGGAATAGTTTTAGGATAACTGGTGCTTTTTATTTTAAAAAATAGATGCATTTTCCCAATTAATTTTTGTATATTTGGAATTCTGTATTATATTTTATGGAATTGAATTTCAAGTATTGATTTACTTATCTGGAGCACTTGCAGACCTGATATAAATATTAGACCTTGGGTACTTACCATTTACAGTGCAACTACTGTAACTGGGGCCACTTACACCAGTTAGACAAGATTAGACCAGAGAACCAATTAAAATGTAGAATGAAAACAATGCATTCCAACTTTGGGTAGTGGAGCCAATCAGAAAGCTAGACTGCATGAGAATATCAGTCTAGTTAAACTGATTTTATGTGCAAACAACTAGCCATCATCATTTTCTCGTGTCAATAAAAAGATATGTCGAAAGGCTATTGTTTTCTGCTGCTTTCTGATTGGCTCCACTACCTAAAGTTGCATTACCTTTATCATACGATTTGATTGGTTCTTGCATCGGTTCTCACTGTCTAAGTGGCCCCGGTTATAGTAGTTGCACTGTAAACTAAAACAACTGCTTGGAAATCCCCAAGTTTTCTGAAACCTTCCAGTCGGAACAATATATACCATTGTTTTCCAAATGAAATTACCAGTTTTTAAATTGCATCCCTGATGTCCATATTTAGTAATATAGTACACCTGATGTCCATATTTAGTAATATAGTACACCTGATGTTGATATTTGGTAATATAGCAGACCTGATGTCCATATTTGGTGATATAGTAGATCAGATGTCCATATTTGGTAATATAGCAGACCTGATGTCCATATTNTTGGTGATATAGTAGATCAGATGTCCATATTTGGTAATATAGCAGACCTGATGTCCATATTTGGTAATATAGCAGACCTGATGTCCATATTTGGTAATAGAGTAGATCTGATGTCCATATTTGGTAACATGGTAATCCTGATGTCCATGTTTGGTAATATAATAGACCTGATGCCCATATTTGGTAATGTAATATAGCAGGTGATATAGTAGGCATGACTATCCATATTTGGTATTATTGCAGACCTGATGTCTATATTTGGCAATATAGTAGACTGAACTTCCATATTTAGGAGTTATTTTCTTTATTCAGTTCACCTTGTGTGGTGTAGGTAAACTATGACATTCACAAAAGTAGATGTTACTTCCAAATTTGGCACAACATCTGTTTATTTTTGGCACAGTATTTTTCCATATTTTGTAAAAATGGTTTGGATGTTTGTGGTTTGACTTGTCCTGTATGCTACCAAACAATTAGCACATTTTGTAGGCAGATCCTTCCATAAAACTCATTAAGCCTTCGATTTTTACTCAGGGAGGTGCTTTTGTTGCAAATGTTAACTTAAGTTTTGCAGTTTTTCTATATTTAAAGTCATTGTTATAATTATGCTAGCATTTGAATTATTATTCAGGTTTCTGACCGTTTATCTGTCCTTCACGCACTTGTCTTAAACATATGTGCAAGTCATGGACACTACATGGGCAGTCCAGTACAATTTTTATTATTTATCTTGGTATTGATGGGAAATGTCCATTGATCCTTATATTATATGCCCAAGGCACAGACACTAGTATGCTGGTCCAGCACGATTTTCCTTATTTATGTATTGATAGTTGGCAAATGTCCATTGCTCATCATACTTGTATGCCCAAGGCACAGACACTAATATGCAGTCCAACATGATTTTCCTTATTTATGTGTTGATAGTTGGCAAATGTCCATTGCTACTTATATTATATGCCCAAGGCACAGAAACTAGTATGCAGTCCAGCAGGATTTTCCTTATTTATGTATTGATAGGTGGCAAATGTCCATTACTCGTAACTTCTAAAGGTGGTAGCTTACTATACTTTTTCCCATTTGTCACTATTTTTGGTAAAAGATTCTTGACCAAGTCCCAACTTGAGTTTTTCCGTGTGCGATCCGGTTTGGTCTCCAAGCCAGAGGCTGGTCTTGTCTTTATGTTTGATGGCATTGTGCCGATCAGCCAATAGGTTATCCAAGTTCCTTTACCCTGTTAAGCAAAATATAAATATTTTAAGCAAAATGAAACCATCTATGTGGGCTTGGCGAGAGGTATAGAGGTTTTGCACCATCACGTGGTCACACCCGTAATACAACTTGGGTTGCCTGTGGTTGGACAGCAGAACAATAACATCATTTTGTTCTTGGAAATTTGACTTCTTTCTCATGTAGAACGATTGTATTGTTCCTGCATCTAACATGGCTGCTGTCACGTGATGGTGCAAAACCTTTATTGCAACTGGGAAGCTTTGCTTACAACAATTTTTGGGCATTTGGGCAACACAAGTAAATGCATGCAAAACTTTACAGTTTAACTCATAATTTAACTCAACGCAACGTCGTTCTTAAACGCTTGAAGACTGCACGCGGAAAATTTATTCTTCCAGTCAGGACTATAACCATAATGAAGAAGATGATGATAATTTAATTGATGATTCTATTTACCTTTAGGAAAACTTCTCCTCGTTCTTCGATGTGGTATCCTCCAAGGTCATCAAGGACTTTCTTGGTCGCTTCACTGATGTGAATTTTAAGAGCTGAAAAAGGTAAAAAAATATTACATATTGATTTTACATCTATCAGTTTGGAATGAAAAATTTCCTTTGAAAAAAATAATAAATGGGACTGAATGGATGGATGGATGGATGGATGGATGGATGGATGGATGGTTGCAGTATACCTTCTCCGTTTGACTCCATTCTTGACGCCGTATTGACCGTATCTCCAAACAAACAGTACCGAGGCATCTTGATCCCTACCACACCAGCTACGCAGGGACCTGCCGTACAAAAATATTCATAAATCATTGTCCTTTAATTGGGTACCCTGTTCCCACAGGAAGCCCAACTTACCAGTATGGAGGCCAATCCTCAATTTAAGCTTATAATCCGGTCGATGTCGAATTTTGAATGTACAAATTTCTTTGAGCATGTGCAAAGCCATACTTCCGATTTCTCCGGCATGTCTGTGGGCGTTACGGATTGGCAGACCGCTGACCACCATGTACGCATCACCTATGGTCTCAACCTGAAAGAAAAACGATAGTCACGTGATCATTTGCTGATAGCCAACGATTGTGAAAAGACCGAAAAACTCACCTTGTAGACGTCATAATTATTAATAATGCTATCGAATAATGTGTAGAGGTCGTTCAAAAGATCCACTATCTGTAAATTAAGACAAACTCATTTAAATAATTTGATTGACATTTTAGCAAAGATAACCGCTGCATCTTTGTTTCGCGGGYTCGTTCTCTAGCACAAATCATGATATTACCTCAAATGGCGTACTTTCAGAAGAAAGGGAAGTAAATCCAACGATGTCACTGAAAAAAATCGACACTTCATCGAAGTTTTCCGCCGTTATCGGTTTTCCTTGAATCAGGTCACGTGCCACTGTCCTGCGATATTAGTAAATATTTATTATATTTATATATCTTAATCATGGTTCAGTTGAATATATGTTAGTTGGCTGTTATTCTGTATTTAATTACGTTAAACAAGGGCTGTTCTTTAGATAGACTAGTTCGTAGTAGAACCTAAAATAGCTGTTATTATAGTTGAGCCCGCCATGCGATATTCTTTTGTTTTAAGAATCGTACAAGTTAGGCTTTCAGTTCAATACATGCTTGTTGCCTCAATGCATAATGCATCCATAATATCTGCTATTTCTGATGTTTTGTCCTCCAACATGTCGACCGTGAAACTCTATCATTTCAATACAATCGTTTTAGTTTCTATCAGAGCTTATCAGTGAGTAGCTATGAGTACAAAATTACGGTGGTAGCATTCTGTGTAGTAGATTATCTGTGAGTAGCTATGAGTACAAA